AGAGGTTTCGTTGTATGTAACCCTTATGTTCAAAATATGCCATAATTAACAATTATTCTTTGAAATCGAGGTGAATAGTGGCAAAATATTTACCGAGCCGCGAAAGCGGCAAGGTAAATATTCCCAAAGCCACTATTCACCGAGATTGAGAAGAATAATTGTTTTAGTATATACACACGAAGTGATCTCAACAAAATCAGAAAGGAAACCATTCAAAAGTAGGATTTGATTTAAAAATAGATCTTTGCAGAATTTTCAAACATGGCAATTCACAAGTTTACTCATTTCGCAAACAACAGCGTAATGGCTTCAATGGAATCGCTAAAAGTTTGAACTGTTTCCTTACCTGAGAAAAAAGTAGAGCTGTGTTGTTTTCTGTTGACTCGCCAAGTTTATAGCCAAAAGGGCATGTTGTGTCGTTCTTCGCATGAAGTGCTGACAAAAATGGCGGCTCGGTTGCTCGAGGTAAGAGGTCGTCTTCCTGTATCATTCTTTTTCCTGTTTACTTGAAATGTAGAATTTCTGCAAACATTTCCTTTTAAATTTGTTTGTCATAAATAAACTTCGATTTTTGAGCCAAAATTTTCTTCTTAGAAAACGCTGAGTTCACGAAACGGCTTCTTCTACGCGAATAAACGGGAGTTGTAAACAATCCATCGAGCACAAAACTCCTGCTACAGTAAATTGAAAAACGCCGTATTGAATCCTTCCAAGTCTTTTCTTGCCTTAAAAAAAGTCAGCCCTAGGATTTTGTCGACTTTTAAAAGATCGTTCTCTAAAAAAAACGGGAAAAACACCGAGCTCACACATTATCCACTCGCTAGGAGGTGAATATTGTTGAATAGTCCGAGATAGCGAACCAATCAGATTGCTTAAATCACCAAGATCACTGAGTGTGTATATACTAATCATATCTATCTATCGCAAGAACCATCCAATCTTCCCCCTCAACTGTTACCCGCCTGTACGCCTAACAAACATATCGAACGCAATCTCCCAAGCTTCGATTTAACTCCTAGTCATAGATACTCTAATAAATGCGCTATTACTGGCCAGCTTAATTAAGTGCGTCAGAAAAATAGGAAGACTCAAATATCCAAAGTCAAAGTTTGAAATCACTGTGAAATTGCTGTGTCAGTCAACCAAAAGTAATCAAAAACGACATGAAAAGCTAAAGAGATTTCAGAACACTTCCTTATTGTATCGAGCATTGGACAGATCGTAATCGCTGCAGTAGTTTTTAATCAAGTCGTTCACACAATCTTATAAGATATAACCTAGTTGTATCCATGTAGATCATATTTCGTCTGAAAGGCTATATCTACAAACTGGAAAAATAATGTGAAGTACATCTTCAATGCAAGAAGGCTAAAAATATCACGAACATTTACGCAGTACAATTAAGTACAGCGTACATTCCAGCTCTATATATTTGGTATTCAGGCAGCGCAACATTTAGTGCAAACAGATTTTCAGGAGCATTAGTTGTTAATTTTGTAACAGACAATCACATCCGGCCACACTCAATTTTCAATCTTTTTGAGTTTGTTACATTACATTACTGGTTGCAAAGCTTTTACATTTAGAGGTTACGTTTTTTATTACACTAAAGGTTAAAATGTTATTACATTAAGTGGTTAGCATTTTTATTACAGTTGTAGTTGATATTTATTACTTTTAATTAACGGTTAGTAACATTAGTGGTTGATGTTTATTATATTGGTGGTTAGTATTACATTAGTAGTCGATTATTACATTAGTGGGTGATACTGTTTTTTTTCCTCCCAAATTTGAACTTTTAATAACTTGAATTTTGTGAAGTGTTACTAACAGGGCCTAAGATGAGTGTTTTAATTACTACTTTCATCAATATTGACCTATTTATTTGTTGCCTCTGAAAATGGCTGATTTTGCTTAAAATGCTCTTTTTCTTTCGCCTTCTACATTAATGACACGAATTTTAGATTTCTATAAGGTATTTGATGAAAAAAATGTAATTTTTGCAAAACAGTCTTAATTTTAACGCCGCACACGCCGCCCTTGAGCTTTGAATAACATGAGATTGAAAAGTCAAAAGAAATTGATTCTCAACGTCGATCTTCTAATATGCTTTTTCAGCTTTTGCTAACAAAATTGCACTGTTTTCGTGTTTACTGTAAGTTGATCACGTGATCAAGTCATGCAAAGAGCGTATTGGTTGAACTGAGTGCGTTTAACCTGAAGCCGCAAAACTTAAATGCACTTCGTCGCCGACTATGGAGCTACTACTAGTGTTATTTAAATCAGACGCTTCTCCAACTTTTGTACATATTTTTCCAATTCCAATTACAAATTTACAAGATGTTTGTTGTTTTCTGCGTTTTCAGCCATGATTTTAGCTTTGAAAATGCCAGTGTGATTTTTTTGATAGACGATCAAAGAAAAACGGTGCTAACATTGCAATGGCTTCTCGATTTTGATTGGCTGCTTACAAGTCGCATGAATGTCTGATCCTCTCTTTTTATTGTTTTATTTCAGCTGGCTAAAATAAATTTTAGACTGTCAAATTTTACATTTTATCCCGCAAAATGCGTCACAATGCCACACAAAGTAATAATAAAAAATGCCATGTCTCAAACTTCAATATGCCAATGAGTTCTAGCCAAACAAAGTAGCAAGCAATGTTTCTCACAAGTAAGAGAAATCAGAAAAACCGCGGGGTTTTTTTCAGCGTAAAAGGGGTCTATGCTAGAAACATTTGCTAAGAAAGTAGAGGTGGAATAAAAAATAATTTTGAGGCTTATGAACGCTTTCCAGTTTTCACCCAAACCTGACACTCCTTGTAGAACTTAGCGCTAGCCAAACAGATCAATTAACAGTAAGGCCTAGGGCAAACGTGGAACTTTTCATGAGATGAACCAAACTCTAATTTGGGTGACTAAAATTAAGATAAGATCGTCTGTTGCGTCAGACGTCGAACGTATGGCACGTCGAACCTAACAACTGAATCAGACCAAAAAGCAATTTTAAAAAATTTCCTCCCGAAAAAAGATAAACATCCATTATCATACAAATGCTTAATTTATTAGGTTAGTTCTTCGCATGGTGGGGGATGAGAAGATCAACGTTTGTCCCGGAGACGATCTTTAAACGTTCTATCCTTCTAAATTTGACGGATAGAACGTATTGGACGATATAAACTCATTCAGACGAACTTTAACTGAGCCAGACGTCGAACTATTTTCATGAACTTAATTCACTAAGTTCGGTTCGCTTCATGAAAAGGTCAACGTTTAGCCTTGGTCTAAGACAAGATGGCCATAATCTATACTCTTATCGACCAAAGCCGACTAACGTCAGACGTTCTGCGGAAAAAATGCTGAAGTTGAGTAGTCTCCCGCGCAGACGTTCTTAAGGGTTCGTCACGCGTTCGTTGGGCAGGATTGCGTGACGATCCAAAAGAACGTCTGAAGGGGAGGCTAGAAGATGAGATGATTATGTGCAGTTGTATAAAAAATTTGTGTCAAACTGTGATTCCGCACAATTCCGCAAAGCAGTATTATTTTCCTTGAATGCACCCGATTAAGGCTACTAAACGGAAAATTTGCCCCGTAGAGGTTTTGCCAGAAGCACTGGCGATTATTGCAACCTCTACTTCCGCGGATGCGTCGGCATGATGATGATGATGGACAAAGGGAGCATTACATGCTTTATCGATCTTCTTTTCTACAATGGAGGTCGAAATTCTAAGGCTTCTTGGTAGAACTCTTTTTTATATGGCTCTATCACTAAAAAGCAATCTTTAATCGGCTTTAGGTTCATCCCTTAAACCCCCACAACTCTCACCAGCAATAATGAGCCTTAAAAACATTAGTTTGCACCTATCCTGCACGAGATTCAAGATTGTTCGAAGAAAGAGGGGCAGGTAACCTACTTTACAGTTATAAAAAAATTACGTGAAAGCCCCAAAAACCTCAGGCTTGAGAGAGATTCCAGGTGCCTTGATGGACAAGCTGGTTAGAGCTTTGCACCGCTATAAGGGTCATGGGTTTGAATCCAAGCGTAAGTTGAGTACTTGATTGCGATAATCTTTTACGTGTTAAATCTCCCCGCAGTTTAAATTTCAAAAATTGACTTTCGTGTCTTCCGGTGCACTGTATAACGAACTCATTAAGTAGAAAATTTCTAATTGGCTTGTTGGCTTAGTAGTAAGAGTGTTGCATGAGTTCGATCCTGTGAATCCTGGTCAAGTCTGAATTTGTTTTTCGGGATTTCCTTTCCCAGTTGCTTAAATAAACGCGGTGGTCGACTTTCACGTGTTGAATCTTTCTCGCTCAGTTAAAATTTGTGAAATTTGAAATCTTCTAAAAGTGAGTGATATTGACAAACAGTTTAAACAAAATATAAAGTTTTCTTAATGTGTGCAGCAAATTAAAAAAATTGTGTTTGTTCTAGTAATTTTGATAACTAGAACTAATTTCACTAATTTTACTGATTACTAGAATTAATTTCAAGTTTTAAAAAACTTTTCTTCCGATTTAACATCAGAGGAAAAGTATTTTGAAGATGTACTTAGTTAACCCACTTTCGTTTCAGTTAAAAGCCGAATATTGTTTAGAAATATATTTACCGTAGTATGAACTCAGCCACGTACGCATTCAAAAAACAATATCAGCTTTTTTTATTACGGTTTCTTCAAGTTACAATTAGTGGTGAGACGTCAGTCAAAGACATCTGCAGCATAAATGATAAATATATTTCGCAATCATAAATCAAACAATGGAGAAGTATTTGATAATTAAAAAATGCTGTTTTAACATTTAAAGCTTATTTTCCCTATTATTTTAGATGCTGGATCTTCACTCAGCAAAAGTCAGAATAACAAAATCATCAGCAGCTGGTCATTGATTCATTGCTGAAGAGCGTAACATCACTTCAAGGACTTCAAAAGTACGATTTCTTCTAAGAAAAGTTCGCTCCACGACACAGTAAATTCTAAACTCTACTGAAAAACCCAGGCAATGGAAGCCTCACCCTCCAAAACCCAGCTTACCAACTCCGTTCTCGCTATCCTTGGAATCCTTGGAAACACGATGACCATTCTATTGTTTTTCCATGACAAAAAGCTGCTGAAAAAGTCGTACAACGCTTTCATTCTTTGCCTTGCTATAGCAGATATACTGACTTCCATCCTAGTAATCACGAGCCCCGGCTTTGGTCTTGGTGACCTTATTGCTCGACCAACCAGTCCAGTTCTGGGTGAGATCTATTGTCGAGCGATTTGGAGCCGAGTGTTTGTCTTTCAACACGTTTTTTTTTCTGTCTACATCACATTGCTGTTGACAATAGAGCGGTGGGTTGCTGTCGTAAAGCCTGCTAAATATAACGTCGCCTTCAAGGGAAAGAGAGTTATTGGCTACATCTTCTTTTGCTGGATCTGGTCATTTGGTCTCACGGGAACGGGTATATTTGATGCGGTCTATGAACCGAGTTCTTCGTCCAATGAAATCTGCACATTCAAATTTATTTCATCAGGCTCTATCCTCCGCATATCCCTCTCTGTGTTCATTATTATCATGAAGATGTTCTTTCCGTGCCTTTCCATGATTGGACTGTACGTACACATGATCGTGAAGACAAACAACTCTCCAGTGGCGTCCGCGGAGAGCAAAACTAAACTACGAGGAAAGATGACAAGAATGATTGGCATTATGACTTGTATTTTACTCATATGCTATTCTCCAAACCAAATTTTTCTAATCTTTGCAATTGCAGGAAAAGCAAAAATAGATTCTACACTCCACCATTTCACAGCAATCCTCGCATTCACAACCATTTTTACTAACCCACTTATTTATGGACTAAGCAACGCTAATTACCGCAAGCGCTACAAGATGGCTTTGTTCTCCATGTGTCCAAAACGACTCGGGGAAGGCGCCCATGTTCCTCTGAGGGGACGAAGAGTTAGTCCTCCTCCATCAGAAGCAGCAGCAACATGTCGATTGACAGTTTTCAGTAATTGATAGTTATTAAAAGGAATTAGTTTATTCCAAGCCAAGAACTGGTTCATGCTTAGCATGAGTATCTCGAGTTATGTATGTTATATATCAAACACGAGACGCAATGTTTCATCACCAGATGAAACATCAAGAAGCACAGCGCAGTATTTTGTCGAACTTCGAGGTTTTTCATCTGGTGATGAAACATTGTGTCGAATGCTTAATATTACTTCTCAAACAAAATGATTTTAAAAGGAAAAATTGAGGATGGAAAAAATAAGTATTTTTTCATCTGATTTCCAAACACTCATTAAACATTAATTTCCTTTGTATTTTTTATGAATTATTAATGAGTTTGAGAAGTGCACAGGAAGTTTGGGGAGTTCGAGGGATCCGGAAGTGGAAGCTTGTTGCTCGAGGGGCAGTCGAGACAGCCTATGATTGCTCTCCAAACTTCGCAAGTGCAGGAGAAGATCCTGTAAAATTTTAAGCCTTGTGGGCCAAGGTCATGTAAATAGCATGTAAATATTGTCCAAACCGTGTAAATAACACGTAAATTACAGAAGAGAGACTACCTAGACCTTGCAAAAACCCGGTAAATCAAAATAGAGCGAATTTGTAAGGCCTTAGAAACCCTTTAACTAAAAAGGGGAACTCACTTGACCCTGCAAAACCCTGTGAACTGAAAAAAGGAGGCTGATTTGTCCATGTAAATGGAAAACCCTGCAAAACCCTGTAAAAGGAAAGCTGGTTTGGCCAAAAGCTATCATAAATATTGACTGTACTATAAGACCCTGTATATATCACCGCTGTGTACATGCAAGTAGATAAAGACAGGATGTACAGTGATCTAGAGCTGGAGAAACTAGGCAGTATGAGATGTTCAATTCAAGAAGAAATTTTCATATACTGCATGTACTACCAGAAAATAATTTAAACGTTGTTTCATTTCTCTTGTTTCTATTTTTTAGATTAAAAGTTAGTTAAGCGAATATTAACGTTAGAAGCCGACGTTTCGTTATCATCATGACACCATTCTCAAGGCAAAATGAATAAATAATGCGAAGATTTGATTTCTATAGTCTCTACAAATTAACATAATAACAAAGGATCACAAGTTCTTCAAGTGAATACCTTGGCACGAATCGAGTCCGCCTGCACGTTTAGGGATGGTTTGAGTTTTCTTATAAAGAGCATATCCTTAATTAGGCAATCAAATTTGTTAGAACCTTTAGTGAGCACGTGAAATTGTTCTGAAAGAAAAGGTGGTACGTCCGAGTTATGTTCGCTAAGATAATGTTTACAAGTGCACGAGAAGATCCTAGTTGATTTTATTTCATAGTGTTTATAAATGGACCCTTGTTATGGAGACTCTTTGGAGTGTTATATGTAAAGACTTGGAAATCACGCAATAAATTTCAACATGAAGGCAATGAAATGAATCAATTATCTCTTATTTTCCATTTAACAAACAGTTTTCCTTTATCATCATCCCTCAGGATGACTGACCGCTATGAAAGAGACAGGGATGGTAGTTAGCGGACATTTTTAAAGGCAAATTTGTGCCTTTGAAGCGAAACAAAAAAAATAAGATTTTTGACAAGTGTAAATTTCGGAAACACATTTTACACATATTTAAGAATAAAAACGACAGACACAACACAAATCCGGCGTGTAATATACTTAACAAATAGATTCCATGTTGCCGTGCGTCTGTTCAGTAATAGATCACAGATGACGTCAAAATGTGGTAAAAACAAAGAAGTGGCACACGAGCCGCAGGCGAATGTGTCACTTATGTTTTTACCACATTTTGACGTCCTCTGTGATCTATTACTGAACAGACCCACGGCAACATGAAATCTATTTGTTTTATACAATGATCAGAAAAGAAAATAGACCGATACACATACCTGCCTAGTACCGCTTGACGGTTCGAGGATTTGTGCTAGTTTTAAGGCATTTTTTAAGTTCCAAACGCTATTTTTCGTCTGTGCTTCTTCTCTTTTCTTTATCGTATTTGTATACAGTTTCTTCGAAAAGTTTTTCAACGCCTTTTCTTGCTCAAAGCAGAATAATGGCGAACACATTTTGCAAAACAGCGAGTCTCCCGTAGCCATGACACATGATGGCAACTGTTGTGAAGATTTCTTTTCGTTTACGCATTCTAAAGTAGTCAAGAGCTCTTTTTGTCTCTGGTTCTCCATTTTTCCTCTTTGTAAATAGCTCCCGCTAAGCTTTTTTCGAGGCTTTCACTAGCTTTGATCGGAAATAATCTCACAAACATTTCAAAACGGCGCGCCATGTTGAACAAAACAAAGAAAACAAGTTTTCCCCGACGTCATCCATGTATCTGTACTCTGATAGATCATGGGCAACAACCAATCACAGCGCGCTTAGCATTCACATCATTGTATAAACTTAAGCGATATCTGTGCACTTGAAAATATCAGTTTTCCCTCCTGAGAATCTTAAACAAGACCACTACATGTAACGAAAAGCATCCCTGTCTCAGCCATGAAGCAGTCTTATCCCCTCTTCCGATGTTTATTCGCATGTTCAATTCAAAAGTACAGTAGGTCACCGGAGTACTTCTTTTAGAATCAGTTTTTGTCATTTGTAACTTCAATTCACAAAAACGGAAATAGCTTTGTCATAAGTAACTGGAATATGATCCTCTGAGTGAGTGCAGTACTGAAGAAATGCGGGGCTTTTTGTTAAGTGTGACCTACTTTTTGATAATCTGTGCGGGTCATCTTCAAATGAGTTTCATCTGGTCTTTCAATTTGACTCTTAAGATGACTACCGCACACGTTGTCGAAACGTCGGTCACTTTCGGGACTACAGTCACCCGGACTATCACATTCCATCCACTGATAAAATGATTCCTGGGTTCAAACCACTCTCTGAGATAACGTTATTAATATGAGTAATGTGCTGGTCTTTTTGTCTCCTTGTATCAATGACAAAACAATTTGTATATCAGAGATGTTTTAGTCCGCCTTTTGCGAAGGAATCTCATTATCTTGTGGGGAATACATTACCGCCAAAGTAGACATAGCCTTTTCTCTTTATCTCATGAATAAAATGCCAAGAAATCTTATTAGGAGATGTAAGGCCCAGTTCAGACGCCGCTACACTCATGTGCCGAACCTAACTGATGAATTAAGTACGGCATAAGAGCGGCGTCTGAGTCAATTTGGTACGGCAGTTTTAGTTTGGTGCGGCAAAAGCGAACTTAACTTAGGTTCGACACACGGTACGCCGTCTGAATCAGTTGTCGCGCCAGTGTCGCTCCAAAGTTGAACTTATTCAGTTAGGCTCGGCATATGAAAAGTACGGCGTCTGAATCAGGCCTAATTCACATGCAATTTTTAGCTGGTTTTACCGGCTTGACAGGTTTTCCCGTTATTTTTAGATCAATGATGTCATAGTTTATTTTAAGTTGTGTGCGTCATGTCCTTATGTGATATAATTACATACGACATCGACAGAAACCTGCCCCATCACAGGGCAGGGAAAAATAATTCTTTGGCATATCGTCTTACCCACGGAAACGAGAAAGAAACTCCTGAATTTCTCTGAAAAATGTGAACAGCTTACCTACGCACATATTACAATAATTTTCCTCCGTCAAATCATCTTCTAGATTTTCTTCTACGATAAATATTATATATTCTGATATCAACAAAGTTGACCTTTGATACCATAATTTCTATAAATCTTATTGCAGAATGGTTTAGATAAATCTTACAGCGAAATGATGTAGAATGTATTAATATATACCGATCCTGAACAAGGACAATCGAAAGGAACCTAATAGACCTTTTTATCGATACGGCGGCCATGTTGAATTAATTCGATTTAAGGAGTATTATAGGATGCCCAGGGGGCGTGAGCACATTTCGTTTGTATTTTCGAGCGCTTTTCGGGTCATTTTTTCTTAAAGTTTTCTTAGAATAAGATTGTAATGGGAAAAAAGATCCCTGTGCCGTGTTTGGATGTAATAATGATCACCTTTTTCTAGTTTAGTATTAGAAATATGGTCTTTCACTGTACATTTCTCGGGAAAAAGGCGATCATTATTACATCCAAACACGGCACAAGGATCTTTTTTCCCATTACAATCTTATTCTAAGAAACGTTTAAGAAAAAATGTCCCGAAAAGCGCTCGAAAATACAAACGAAATGTGCTCATGCCCCCTGGGCATCCTATAATACTCCTTAATTCGAATTTTTCCTCCATTTACATTACATTGCTGTTAACAGTAGAGCGATGGGTTGCTGTTGTAAAACCTTCTAATTATAACTTAATGTTCAAGGGAAAGAGACTCATGGGTTACGTCTTCTTCTGTTGGCTCTGGTCATTTGGTCTCACTGGAACAAACTTGTTTGACGTCGGCTATGAACCAAGTTCATCATCCAATGACATCTGCAAATTCAACTTTATTTCATCAGGCTCTACCTTCCGCACGTCTCTGTCTGTGTTCCTTATTATCATGAAGTTGTTCTTTCCATGCCTTTCCATGATTGGACTGTACATACATATGACTGTGAAGACAAACAACTCCCCAGTTGCCTCCGCGGAGAGCAAGGCCAAACTACGAGGGAAGATGACAAGAATGATCGGCATTATGACCTGTATTTTACTCTTATGTTATTCCCCAAACCAAATCTTCTTTATCTTTGCAACTGCGGATAAAGCGAAAATGGATTTTACACTTCACCATTTCACAGCAATTCTCAACTTCATCACTATTTGTGTTAATCCATTTCTTTATGGATTAAGCAATCCTAATTATGGCCGGCGTTATCGAAAGGCTTTGTTGTCGTTTTGTCCCCAACCGAGAAGAGTTGGACCTGCCATGGAAGGATAAAATATTACTGACAGTAGACGCTAATTACGATTTATTTTATAACCACCAATGAAATACCAGGTGAGCTTCCTCGCGAAAACATGAAATCGTCTGACGTGAAAAATTCCATCGTCGCTTTATATCTACCAGATAAATCGTGCCTTTCGCAACCAAAAAAAATTAATCGCAGCAAAATTAAAAATACATTAAAGTGAAATGGTTTGGACTCTCATTGGTGTTTATGTAATAAGTAAAATCCCTGTGTCTCTCGTTTATTATGAATTAACATTGCTGGGGTAGTAACATCTCAGAATTAGAATTCTTTTCCCCTTGGGATTCATAATAGTCCGAGGCATCGTGACCAGGACTCACAACTTCAACTTCGCCTTCTAAGTAACTCAACTCTCCGGACCAGTTTAATTTTTGGAAATTGTACATTAAGGCAAAAATGGTACGTCTTTAGAGGGAACAAAAACCAAAACTGTCAAGTTTACTAATCGATAGAGTCCGCTGAACTCTATCCAACAGACGGAAAACACAGTTTTCGATCTTCTTGTTATATTTCTTCTTACGTTTCTCAGTGTTTTTATTAGGTACGTGCAAGGAGAATTTTCTTTTGGAAAAGATCCTTTTAATCGTTCGTCTTAAAATAGAACTACAGACTTTAATTTATCGGCTGGCCAGCTATTTTACTAGATGGCTATGTACTTATTAGCTAAGTGCAGATCAGTATAACTGAATTTCGATTATAACATCATTACTTGTAAATATCATATGAATCAACTAAAATCACTGAACAAATGAAATATTACAGAAAAAATGTAGTTGGCTAATCTGTTAGGAAGTACTGTGAAAATTTGGTAGATAGTACAAATAACTTGAAAAAAACGTGCAGACATCGAGGCCAACATCCTGTCATCCGAATAGCGTATTGCATCTCAACGCTGTAAATAACTTGTAAAACGAGATTACTTCGACAATGTAAACAGCCCGTAAATCGAGAAATAGGGACTGAAACTAAATATAATACGACACTGTAAAACCTCGTTAAGTGTAAAAGGGTAGTGGTTTGAATCTGGCCTGTAGAACATGTAAATACTACGTTAATCGAAAATGAGCATTGATTGGATCCTGTAAATCTCTGTAAATTAAAATATGAGGATTGGCGTGGCCCTCCAAAAGCCACTAATAAATGTGAATGGACTTATTTGACTATGTAGATCGAACACTGAGAGGTCTAATTTCTTCCTGTAAAAAGTATGTAAAGTGGCAGGCTGGTTTAACCATATAGAACCCTTTGAGAATATTTACAAGGTCTTGTAAATACTCTAAAGATCGAAAAAGGGAGTATTTGATCCTGTCAATTCCTGCAAGCTAATAAAGGGTGGCTGGATTAACCGTTTAAAAATTATGTAAATCGAAAAAGAGGGATTTATCCTGTTATCCTGTAAACAGGTGAATCTGAGGCCCCGTAAATATCACCGACGTGTTTAATCACACATGTCCGATATACACAAACGGATACGATTCGTCAAACTGATGGTCCATTGGTACCAATGGTACGATTGGTACCAACAGAAAATGATGTCATTCCAATGGTTCTACTGGTGAATATGCATCTCATTAAGGGGACTTAGATTAATTTCCTATGTGACCTGGCTGGGTACAGGGCAATTTCCGATGGTCCATTGGTACCAAGAGAAGAGCACATCATTCCAGTGGTTCTATTGGTGAATATGCATCTCCTTAAGGGGACTTAGATTATTTTCCCATGTGACCTGTCTGGGTACAGCGCAATTACGATGGTCCATTGGTACCAATGGTTCGACTGGTACCAATAGAAAATGATGTCATTCCAATGGTTCTATTGGTGAATATGCATCTCATTAAGGGGACTTAGATTAATTTCCTATGTGACCTGGCTGGGTACAGGGCAATTCCGATGGTCCATTGGTACCAAGAGAAAAGCACATCATTCCAGTGGTTCTATTGGTGAATATGCATCTCATTAAGGGGACTTAGATTATTTTCCCATGTGACCTGGCTGGATACAGCGCAATTAAGATGGTCCATTGGTACCAATGGTTCGATTGGTACCAATAGAAAATGATGTCATTCCAATGGTTCTATTGGTGAATATGCATCTCATTAACGGGACTTAGATTAATTTCCTATGTGACCTGGCTCCAATAGAAAAGCACATCATTCCAGTGGTTCTATTGGTGAATATGCATCTCATTAAGGGGACTTAGATTATTTTCCCATGTGACCTGGCTGGGTACAGGGCAATTCCAATGGTCCATTAGTACCAATGGTTCGATTGGTACCAATAGAAAATGATGTCATTCCAATGGTTCTGTTGGTGAATAAAGCGAGGTCGAAATACAAACATGCCATGTGTATTCTTCGTTCTATAAGCCATCTATGCAAAACAAGTTCGCTTTTACACAAGGTAGAAACGTGCTAATAATTATTATGAATATTCCTCGTTCTATAAGCTAACCACGCAAAACAATTTCGCTCTCATACAAAGTAGAAAGGCGCTAATGGTTATTATGAATATTCCTCTTTCTATAAGGTAACCACGCAAAACAATTTCGCTTTTACACAAAGTAGAAACGCGCTAATAGTCACCGTAAGCCCCCCCTCTCTATTAAGCCCCCCCCTCCCCCTCCCCCTCCCCCAATCCTTATCATTCACAAAAAAAATTAATGATTAACGTGAACTGATCAGTTATGGTTTATTCAGGCTGAAAGTTCATATTGTTTTTGGTCTTTGGCCGCATGACCTCCAACTTCATATGCTTAACTTTCTCAACTTTGCGCTCTAGTTCTCTGTGGAGAACATTTTTGAAGAATAAGAATTTTGTTTTTGGTACTTTTAGGCTCCCACAAGTGAAATAAATACTTTTGACAGTGACTTTAATTGTACAACGCGTAAGTCTACTCTGTCTCATACCACGGTATTTTTGCTACAGGTGATGCGTTTTGCTAAATTAAATAAGCCCCCCCCTCTCTTTTAAAGGGAACCTCCACTCTTACTACAGAATAAGTTTAAATCGAATAAAATTATGTTGATAAACAAATTTGTTCGAAATTTGTCCTTAAAAAAAGTGTTTATATCAGAAAAAGTGAATTTTAAAATCGCTTATTTTCACTTTCAAATTTCGCGGGCGCCGCCATCTTGAATAATTGTGACGTGTTACGGTTGCTCTATTCTTGGCTTGCACTGTCACGCAATGAAAAATAAAAATGCAAACCATTCAAAACAGGACAGGAATCTGGAAATGAAAAAAGATAAATATACAAAAACCCTTGCCAAGAATCAGGTCTGTGAAATATTTCAAATGCGAGATATTGGGAAAAACGGTTTACCTAAATTTATAAAGCTTTGTATGGAAACGCCATGTTGGTGTCCCTTTCAGGAACACCAATATGGCCGCCGGATACCAACAGAAACATCTGTTTTCGAGTTTTCCTACTAATGCGTGAATTCTTCGCTTGAGGAACTCATACAGATTACAGTAATATTTATTCTGAGACAAGAAATGTTTAGATTGCAAAATCTCCCAAAATCGGTTATGTTTTTAACCCACGTAAGAGCTTTCCCGGCCGCCAGCTAAATGCCGCGTCACGCAAAAGCCTGGAAATTCAAGCTTCCTCTCTCGCAAAACGAAGAACCCTTTCGAACCAAAATTTTTTTTATGTGAAGTTGTTTACGTACTGTAATACCTCGTGAAAGTAGAAACTCAGAAGAATCGATAGTTTCTTAGTTTGATTTTTGGTGACGTCACGTGCAACCCAAGAATTGTTCTGACACAAAGAGCTTTTGTTTAATAACAATAGGGCAACCATAACACGTCACAATTATTCAAGATGGCGACGCCCGCAAAATTTGAAAACAAAAATAGGCGAATCTAAAAGTTATTTCTTTCGGATACAAACGCTTTCTTTAAAAATATTTTAGATTGACTTGACTGTAACAGTTATTTCCTGTGATTTAAAGTTATCTTTTTGTTGAAGTGGAGGTTCCCTTTAAGCCCCCCCTCAAAAGTGCTTGAAAAAAATAAGCCCCCCCCCGGGGGTTTAATAGAGGATTTACGGCATTATGAATATTCCTAGTTCTTTAAGCCAACCACACAAAACATTTTCGCTCTCACACAAAGTAGAAACGCGCTAATAGTTATTATTAATATTCCTCGTTCTATAAGTTAACCACGCAAAACATTTTCCCTCTCACGCAAAGTAGAAACGCGCTTATAGTTATTCTGAATGTTTCAGTCGTTCTACATGCCAACCACGCGAAACAATCTCGCTCTCACAAAAAGTAGAAATTCGCTAATAGTTACAAAGCGAGGTTGAACTAGCGCTAATATAGTAATTGCTAATAGCGAGGTTGAAATGTGTATTCTTCGTTTTATCAGCCATCTATGCAAGCGGCTGGTAGTTTCTTGAACGAAGACCGAAGCACGAAGCACCCAAATCTCGAAAACGAAACACCCGAAATTCAAAGCCTGTGTGCACTTTAAAAACACAAGACAGTCCCTTGTCAAGTCACTAATGCCAATACTGCAGGAATCAAGCACGATAGCGAATGGAACGCATTTCAAGACATTTGATCTAAGTCACCTCAATGAGATGCATATTTACCAAAAGAACCATTGTGAGATCTATATTCACTAGTAGAACCATTAGAATGACATCATTTTCTATTGGTACCAATCCTACCTTTGCTACCAATGGAGACCCTTCTTATCACCAATATAACACCAATGGAGTCTATTTGTGAGTATTGGACAACCCTCAAATGATTATACAAAAAGAAGCGTACCTCATAGATAGAGGCAAAACCCTGTCACCAGACGATCTGACCCGAAGGAATGAACATTGAACTCTTTCTATTTCTATTTTTATTGTAAAACCATAATCATTTTGTTAGCAGAAATATTGGCCTATAATAAATCAGCCCGCCGTATTGCAAGCCCTGAATTCAGTTTTGTTTTAATAAATTGTGTTAGTGGCAGAGTTCATGTAAATTTATACCTTGACTTTAGCATGGCCTACCCCCAAAAGTGATTTACTTGCTGAAGGAAGCAAAATCCGGGTTATGATGGAAAAATATTCGCTGTAAAAAAGAAAATAGCTAACAAAATTAGTAGTTAACTGAGAATTGACCAAAAAAATAGCAGTTAACTGATATTTGGCTGAACAAATTATAGTTAACTGAGAATTGGGTACGCCCATTAGCACCCTCCTTTAACTCTCGATTAACTGGGGGAAACTAGACTCAGTTGCAACTCGCTTGCGGGAAAGAGCCGTCACTTCTCAGCAGTGTAATCACTTCTCACCAGTGAAATCAAAAACTCAGTTCAAAGCAACTTACTTATATATGATTTGAATAACCAGTTAAGGACAAAAGAGTACTGACAATAGATATGTAAACAGAAATCATTTAGAGGTAAATGAAAATCAAATAAAAGAGAGAGTTAAAGCTTGTTAGCTAGTGCTGCTATTTTGAAAAAGTAAAAGGACTGGAACAAAGGCTAGCTACGTTTGCTAGGTCAGCAAAACAGCGTTTATGGACAGTATTTTACAACATGAATGAAATTGCAAGGTCCGCTAGGGTCTGTTCAAACAGGAAGAAACGCGGACTAATTACTAGTTTCCTAGTTTTAAAGCAAAACAAATATATTTCGAATTTGCAACTCAGTAAAACCTTTCATATCCCAAACTCAGCTGTTGCCACTATTTAACCAACAGACTAATGAACGTTTTTTTTAGTTCGCAAATACATATGCCATTTGGGTAAAATGAATTAAAACGAGGTATATCTTTAAAAATGTGCTAATGTGAACGGATGGGTGCTAATGTGAACGGATGCCGTGCAGAATAAAAAGAAAGCTTAAATTAAAAGGTAAACTAAAGTTTTAACTAAAATAGCCATTATTCTGAAAACTAATGATTTTTTTCTAAAAGTCAACAATTGAAGTAAAACGTGTCCAGTTGAAAAGAGTCAGTGGCAAATAGTTTTGACAGCTGCAAACACTATTGGCTATTTCTATAATTATTGCGTTAACGAACACTAAGTAATCAAACAATTCAAATAAAATGGCACGAGCCTTTTTCCGGAGCTAAAACCGCTTTATGCGAATTCAGTATAAATTACTAAAAACAACGTCAAAGCGAAAACCGTAAAATTCCGAAAATAAGCCCCGGGGCTTATATTTTTCAAAGGCCATTTTTGAGGGGCTTATTTTTGGAGGGTCTTATATTCGCAGGCGCTTATGTACGGAGGGAAATTTGCGTTTAAAAATCGATTGGGCTAGCCTTATGGTTGGAAGGAAATTTACCGTTTTCCTTTGTTTTACTTTGTATTCGAGGGCAATTTCCAAGTACAAGCCCCCCGGGGGGCATATATTTGGAGGGGCGATTTAACGGAGGGTGTTTTGTGTCACGAGTTTGGGGGGCTTATTTTTGGAGGGGCTTATACATGGAGGGGCTTATTTTCGGAATTTTACGGTATTTGAAAGCTTTATATGAAATTCGGGGCAAATAAAGAATTCATGGAAAATCTCTCCTTGCAAAAGTGGGTCCAATTGCACAAATGTCAAAGTTCGTCCACCAACGGTGTAATTTTCATTCTTTACAGGTGATTATAGGTGAATTTTTTTTGGCCAAATGACGTGTGAACTTATAAAGTACGTCAGCAAGTAGACTTAAAAGTTGTATGTTAACTGGCAGTTCAAAATCACTAAACCTCAACTGCCCTAATGGACGATCTACAACCTTATTTTATGATTGCCTGATGGCTATTTTGCCAATTTTTCTATTATATAAAAGCGACTTAACTATACATGGAGCTGTTAAATTCAGTTGTCTGAGTTAATTTTTTAATGTATTCTTCAGTTGCAGACTGATGATTGTGTAATGGGGTTTACTAGGTACCCTAAAAAATCTAATTGAAAACTTTTCTCCGGTTAAATACGTTATATGTTCTTAGCATTTAATATGAGAAAATCAATTTCAGCTGCTGATCACAGCAAGTGCGATTAACAACTTCATTTAGCTAACGCTATAAAAGCCGAGGATTTTCAGTAAAATGTCTCTCTTATTTTTTTCTTCTGTTCTGACCGAAAAAGAATTATCCGGGCTTAATAGATTTTCATCACATGACGTGGACTGGAACAAATGCATGTTTGTAGAACATGTATAAAAAGCTGAAGATGAAATCATTTTGGAGCCTGAAGAGGACAGTCAATCCATCCAGCAGGTGAGTGTGTGGCGGGATATATTCCAGTTCAATCAGCTTTAGATGAAAAAAAAAAAAAAAGAAAAGAAAAAGAAAAGAAAGAAACTATTTGTTTACTCTTCACTCCGAAATGTTTTCCGGTCCACTCAGCCGATTAATTCACGTTTCCTCACAATTTTTGTTACCTTTTCTAAATTTAACTTAAGCCGAACATGTACTACAAAGTTTTCAGAAAATATATATGCATGGTATTCTGTTGCGTGCAAAGAATATAAATTAAGAGGTAAAATGATAACCTTTATCCATGTGATTATGCTTTATTCCCCTCTCGGTAGTATTGAGATCGGATCAAAATTTTCTCATGATCCTCCAAGAAACATTCAATTTTTTATTTCGTTTCAGTCTCAAACGGGAGAGTCTACGAAGACCTCACGACGACGAATAATTATTTGTGCTTGAATTGTTAAAGGGGCTCTTTCAGGCCAGCACAATCCATTGTATAGTGTTTTTTTTCGCAATTACTCGCTCTGTTTTTCTAGGAGACTTAACTGTGGAGAAGAAATTATTTGTACGTGACAAAATCACACCTTCACGACCAAAAAACAGGGATCTCGAGAGTTGTATTTAAATTACCAAACAAAAGAGATGGATTATTTAAAAAATGCTGGGCTGAACACTTTTCAGATAACTTCAGTTGCGTTCTTTTCACTCTTCATTAAATTTGTACATCCGTGCCTTCTTAACTGAATTTGTTGTTTACTTCAAATATTTCTTTACCGTTTTATTAGCGTTTATTTTTTATATTTCGCCCATTTCGTTTCCAAGTAGCTAAATTGTGCTAAACTTTGTAATACAATTCTTTTAGGAGCCTCGCCCTCAGTCCAGTATTTCTAAAATTACGACTTTCAGAAGTTTAAAATTTTCTTTCTCTATCCGAAGAAATACATTTAATTAGCTTTGGCTTGTGAGTGTTTCACCTTTCTTAATTACATCTGAGAAAATGATTGAAATTTCACAGCATAATGTTAAGGAGTGGCGTTAATAAACTTCGATCTGTTTATATTTTAAAATATTTATTTGCTGAATTTCAATTCTTTGGGGCGCAGTTCTTTTAATATGTTAAAGTTGTTAAAGTTAAAAGAAAAGTTATTAAAAGTAATTTTTTCGGGGAGGGGAGGGGGGGGGGAGTAATTAAATAAACATTAGGCATTAGAAGTCCCCTTTTGTCAGTATACTCCCTAAATTAAGAACTCCATTTCTAACTGTAATATAATCTTCTAATAAAAAATGCGTATGCGCAATTGTTCATGGTCAGTTTATATAAGTGTAAAGTTACCAAAAACCTCTAGGTAACAAATTACAAAAAAAAAAAAAAAAAAAAAAAAAACACTTCGTCCGGGGTTATATAAAAATCATAATCCCCAAAGAATCCTACTTTCCGCTTCCAAAATCGGCTAACCGGATAGGGCTTCTATTCAAACACAAGAACGGCGATTTTGGCGCGATTTCTTCAACGGAGCGAAGCTGCGTCGCGCCCATGTCGAAAGTGAAGCGTCACATATCGAATAGGGTTTGCATGAGCCATACTTTGGTGCAGTGTGAATATCACTCCCGTCGAGGAAGTAAATAAACAGCTTCTTCAACTTTCAACTTGTATTTAAATTCGGAAATACATTACAAAAATACATTGGGACTGGCCTGCAGTTACCGAGGCTATTCGAGGCAGACCAGGCTACATAATTTACCACGCATTGGATAAATACAAAGAAATTAGACGTTATGTAACTATTTATTTTACAATAAATAAACACTATTCTACTTTATTAAATACAAGGAAAATATTGGAGTGAATTATAAAAACAAAATGAAATGAAAATAAAGGACAAGAGAATTACTTTTTCATTTTCACTATAATCGTATCTACATCAATTTAGGAGTCTTCATTTTGCAATATATCGAGTAGCGTTGCTTTTAATGATTTTTTGAAAGTTTTTTCCGTTATTTTTTTTTAATTTGAGGTATCCTGTTCCAAATTTTGACCCCAACACGCAAAAAAGCATTTCGTTTGACTTTGAGTCGAGATTCTTTAGTATAAAAATGTTCAAAGGTTGAAGTATTGTAAGTATGAACACTAGAAATTGGAGAGAAGAGTTCAATATTTTCCGGAGCAGAGTTTCTATTTACATCATGCATAAGACTTCGAACGGATTCATAACATAGAGCCTGTAAAGATAGAATTTTGCATTGACAAAAAAAATGTATTGGGCATGCGTAGTCATTTGTTTCAGCAAAATATAATAAACGCAGTGCGCATTTTAGAAGGACAAAAACCGCCTGCTTAGTTGGCTCAGTTGGGAGACCGCCGGTCTGCAGCTGAGTGGGAGGTTACCGGGTTCGAACCCCCGGCGGACCAATACTCAGGGTCTTTAAATAACTAAGAAGAAAGCGCTGCTTTTTTAATGACATCTGCAAACGGTTAGACTTTCTAGTCTTCTCGGATAAGGACGAAAAACCGTGGGCCCCGTCTCACAGGAATAACACTTAACTAGTTCTTGTGCTGACCTAAAAGAATCCACACCACAGTTTGAAAAGAGTAGGGGACGTAGACCTCGGTGTTGTGGTCAACCTTCACACATCACATCATTCACATCATGGGCTGGGTGGGTAAAGTAGGCTCATGAATGGACTGAGGGCGGCTAGCAGTAGCGCCTTTGTATGCTGACGTCCGAACTTACTGTTCACATGTTAAAATGTATTGTAAGAGGGTGCGTCTGTTGTCCTCTCATCCACGACTCTTCATTCATTCATTCATTCATTCAAGAATTTGGTCAAGGAAAGTTTTACACGCGTTGGCCCAAGAGATAAGACCGTAAGTTAGATAAGGTGCAATATTAATTAGTGACTGATAATTATTTAGGAGAGGGCAAGTGCGAGCAATATGCCTTAATCCCGCAATAAGCCCGATTGTTTTTACTTGTTTTGTTTGCAACAGAGTGAATATGGGTCTTCCATGATAGATTTTCATCGATTAACAGATATTTAAAAAGTTTTTACATTCAAGAGTAACCTTTTTATTGCTTTCATTGTCAAAAAAGTTAACCTGAGGCTTATATATAGTTCGGTTTTTTCTGTATGGACGAAAAATTTCATAGTTTGATTTTTTATTATTCAGGGAAAGCTTATTTGAAGTTAGCTAGTTATGCTTTGACTGTAAGTTCCAGTGTCTTTAAATCTTTATGAGCATGGAGGGCGTTAGTGTCGTCAGCAAAAAGGAAAAATTGAAGTTTGCTCGAACAATATTTGATGTCATTTACATAAAGCAAGAAGAGAAGTGGACCTAGGACAGAAGCTTGAGGTACGCCGCAAGTAACATTTAGTTTAGTTAATTTTAATATTCTCTTTCAGCTTGTGCTAACAAAATTGAACTGTTTTGGTGTTAACCAAAAGTTGATCACGTTATCAAGTCATGCAAAGAGCCTATTGGTTGAACTGAAAGCGTTTGACCTGGAGCTGCAAAACGTACATGTACTTCGTCGCCGACTATGGACTAGTGTTATTTACATCAGACGCTTCTCTAACTTTTGTCGATATTTTTCCTTTAGCTGAGACCATTACAAATTTACAAGTTGTTTGTTGTTTTCTGCGTTTTCAGCCATGATTTGAGCTTTAAAAATGCCAGCGTGATTTTTTTGATAGTCGATCAAAGAAAAACGGCGCGAACTTTGCAATGGCTTCTCGATTTTGATTGGCTGCCTATATCGCATGAATGCCTGATCCTCTCCGCAAACTGCATCACAATGCCAGACAAAGTAATAATAAAAAATGCCATGTCTCAAACTTCAATATGCCAATGAGTTCTAGCCAAACAAAGTAGCAAGCAATGCTTCTCACGAGTGAGAGAAATCAGAAACCGCGGAGTTTTTGTCAGCGTAAAAGGGGTCTATGCTAGAAACATTTGCTAAGAAAGTAGACGTGGAATAAGAAATAATTTTGAGGCTTATGAACGCTTTCCAATTTTCACCCAAAACTAACACTCCTTGTAGAACTTAGCGCTAGCCAAACAGAACAATTAACAGTAAGGCCTAGGCCAAACGTGGAACTTTTCATGAGACGAACCAAACTCTAATTTGGATGACCAAAATTAAGATAAGATCGCCTGTTGCGTTAGAAAATCGAACTTGACGCACGTCGAACCTAACAACTCAATCAGACCAAAAAGCAATTTTAATAAATTTCCTCCCGAAAAAAGCTAAACATACATTATCACACAAATGCTTAATTTATTAGGTTAGTTCGTCGTATGGTGGGGGATGTGAAGATCAAAGTTTGTCCCTGAGATGATCTTTAAACGTTCTATCCCTCCGAAGCAGACGGATAGAACGTATTGGAAGATATAAACTCATTTAGACGAACTTTAACTGAGCCAGACGTCGAACTATTTTCATGAACTTAATTCACTAAGTTCGGTTCGTCCCATGAAAAGGTCAATGTTTAGCCTTGACCTAAGACAAGATTGCCATAATCTATACTCTTATCGACCAAAGCCGACTAACGTCAGACGTTCTGCGGAAAAAATGCTGAAGTTAAGTAGTCTCCCACGCAGATGTTCTTAAGGGTTCGTCACGCGTTCGTTGGGCAGGATTGCGTGACGATCCAAAAGAACGTCTTAAGGGACGCTAGAAGATGAGATGATTATGTGCAGTTGTATAAAAAATTTGTGTCAAACTGTGATTCCGCACAATTCCGCAAAGCAGTATTATTTTCCTTGAATGCACCCGATTAAGACTACTAACGGAAAATTTGCCCCGTAGAGGTTTAGCCAGAAGCACTGGCGATTATTGCAGCCTCTACTTCCACGGATGCGTCGGCATGATGATGATGATGAACAAAGTGAGCATTACATGCTATATCGATCTTCTTTTCTACAATGGAGGTCGAAATTCTAGGCTTCTTGGTAGAACGCTTTTTTATATAGCTCTATCACTATAAAAAGCAATCTTTAATCGGCTTTAGGTTCATCCCTTGATCCCCCACAACTCTCCCCAGCAATAATGAGCCTTAATTTGCACCTATCCTGCACGAGATTCAACATTGTTCGGGGAAAGAGGGGCAGGTAACCTACTTTCCAGTTATATGAAAAATTACGTGAAAGCCCCAAAAACCTCAGGCTTGAGAGAGATTCCAAGTGGCTTGATGGACAAGCTGGTTAGAGCTTTGCACTGCGATAACGATCATGGGTTTGAATCCAAGCGTAAGTTAAGTACGTGATTGCGATAATCCTTTACTTGTTAAATATCTCCCGCAGTTTAAATTTCAAATATTGGCTTTCGTGTCTTCCGGGGCACTGTATAACGAACTCATTAAATGGACAGTTTCTGACTGGCTTGTTAGCTTAGCAGTAAGAGTGCTGCATGAGTTCCTGTAAATCCTGGTCAAGTCTAAATTTGTTTTCTGGATTTCCTTTCCCAGTTGCTTAAATTGCATGCGTAACCGCGATGGTCGACTTTCACATGATGAATCTTTCTCCCTCAGTTAAAATATGTGAAATTTGAAATCTTCTAAAAGTGAGTGATATTGACAAACAGTTTAAACAAAATATAAAGTTTTCTTAATGTGTGCAGGAAATTAAAAAAATTGTGATTGTTCTGGTAATTTTAATAACTAGAACTAGAACTAATTTTACTAATTTTACTGATTACTAAAATTAATTTTAAGTTTTAAAAAACTTTTCTTCCGATTTAGCATCAGGAAAAGTATTTTGAAGATGTACTTAGTTACCCCATTTTCATTTCAGTTAAAAGCCGAATATTGTTTAGAAATAAATTTACCATAGTATGCACTCAGCCACGCACACATTCAAAAAACAATATCAGCTTTTTTATTACGGTTTCTTCAAGTTACAATTAGTGGTGAGACGTCAGTCAAAGACATCTGCAGCATAAATATATTTCGCAATCATAAATCAAACAATGGAGAAGTATTTGATAATTAAAAAATGCTGTTTTAACATTTAAACCTTGTTTTCCCTGTCATTTTAGATGTTGGATCTTTATTCAGCAAAAGTCAGAATAACAGAATCATCAGCAGCTGGTCATTGATTCATTGCTGAAGAGCGTAACATCAATTCAAGGACTTCAAAATTACGATTTCTTTTAATAACAGTTCGCTCCTCGACACAGTAAATTCTAAACTCTACTGAAAAACCCAGGCAATGGAAGCCTCACCTTCCAAAACCCAGCTTACCAACTCCATTCTTGCTATCCTTGGAATCCTTGGAAACACGATGACCATTCTATTGTTTTTCCATGACAAAAAGCTACTGAAAAAGTCCTACAACGTTTTCATTCTTTGCCTTGCCATAGCAGATATGCTGACTTCCATCCTAGTAATCACAAGCCCCGGCTTTGGTCTTGGTGACCTCATTGCTCGACCAACCAATCCAGTTCTGGGTGAGATCTACTGTCGAGCGATTTGGAGCCGAGTGTTTGTCTTTCAACACGTTTTTTTTTCTGTCTACATCACATTGCTGTTGACAATAGAGCGGTGGGTTGCTGTCGTAAAGCCTGCTAAATATAACGTCGTCTTCAAGGGAAAGAGAGTTATTGGCTACATCTTCTTTTGCTGGATCTGGTCATTTGGTCTCACGGGAACGGGTATATTTGATGCAGTCTATGAACCAAGTTCATCATCCAATGAAATCTGCACATTCAAATTTATTTCATCAGGCTCTATCTTCCGCACATCCCTCTCTGTGTTCATTATTATCATGAAGATGTTCTTTCCGTGCCTTTCCATGATTGGACTGTACGTACACATGATCGTGAAGACAAACAACTCTCCAGTTGCGTCCGCAGAGAGCAAAGCTAAACTACGAGGAAAGATGACGAGAATGATCGGCATTATGACTTGTATTTTACTCATATGCTATTCTCCAAACCAAATTTTTCTTATCTTCGCAATTGCAGGAAAAGCAAAAATAGATTCTACACTCCACCATTTCACAGCAATCCTCGCATTCACAACCATTTTTACTAACCCACTTATTTATGGACTAAGCAACGCTAATTACCGCAAGCGCTACAAGATGGCTTTGTTCTCCATGTGTCCAAAACGACTCGGGGAAGGCGCCAATGTTGCTCTGAGGGCACGAAGAGTTGGTCCTGCTCCATCAGAATCACCTGCCAAGGGAGGCCAACATGTCGATTGACAGTTTTCAGTAATTGCTAGTTATTAAAAGGAATTAGTTTATTCCAAGCCAAGAACTGGTTCATGCTTAGCATGAGTATCTCGAGTTGTGTATGTTATATATCAAGCACGAAACGCAATGTTTCATCACCAGATGAAACACTAAGAAGCGCAGCGGATTATTTTGTCGAACTTCCAGGTTTTTCATCTAGTGATGAAACACTGTGTCGAATGTTTGATCTTACTTCTCAAACAAAATGATTTTAGAAGGAGAAGTTAATGATGAAAAAATAAGCAGTTTTTTATCTGATTTCCAAATACTCATTAAACATTAATTTCCTTTGTATTTTTAATCAATTATTAATGAGTTTGGGAAGTGCACACTCAGGAAGTTTGGGGAGTTCGAGAGATCCGGATGTGGAAGCTTGTTGCTCGAGGGGCAGTCGAGACAGCCTATTATTGCTCTCCAAACTTCGTAAGTGCAAGAGAAGATCCTGTAAAAGTTTAAACCTTGTGGGCCAAGGTCATGTGAATATCATTATCATGTAAATATTGCCCGAACAGTATAAATAACACGTACATTACAGAGGAGAGACTACCTAGACCTTGTAAAAACCCGGTAAATCTAAAATAAGGAATAAGATAATTGACCCTGTACAGATCTTTTAAATTGAAAAGGGGGAATGGCTTGGCCTGTAGATACTCCTTAAATCAGAGAAAAACCCTGCAAAACCCTGTGAACTGAAAAAAGGAAGCTGATTTGTCCATGTAAATGGAAAACCCTCCAAAACACTTGCTATCATAAATATTGACCATACTTTAAGACCCTGTATATATCACCGCTGTGTACATGCAAGTAGATAAAGAGAGGATGTATAGTGATCTAGAGCTTGGAGAAACTAGGCAGTATGAAATGTTCAATTCAAGAAGAAATTTTCATATAGTACATGTACTACCAGAAAATAATTTAAACGTTGTTTCATTTCACTTGTTTCTATTTTTTAGATTAAAAGTTAGTTGATTTTAGTTCATAGTGTTTATAAATGGACCCTTGTTATGGAGACTCTATGGAGTGTTACATGTAAAGACTTGAAAATCACGCAATAAATTTCAACATGAAGGCAATGAAATGAATCAATTATCTCTTACTTTCCATTTAACAAACATTTTTCCTTTATCATCATTCCTCAGGATGACTGACCACTGTAAAAGAGACGGGGACGGTAGTTGGCGGACATTTTTAAAGGCAAATTTGTGCGTTTTGAAGCGAAACAAAAAAGTAAGATTTTTGAGGAGTTTTAATTTCGGATACATTATTTAGTATACAGGGGCACCCAATGGATCTGTTCCTCAAAATATCTGTTCTTCAGGCAAATTTTTGCTGGCTGGGAGATTTGGACAAAATAATATGTCCTTGGAAATTGGAAAATTGTGGTGTCTGAGGTGATTTGATGTGTAGAATAGCTGCTGTGCGCTATCTGTCAGAAACCTCTTAGCCCTTCCTCCCACCACCCACTGAAGGGGTGAATGTAACCCTTAGGCCACACCCAATTTCCTATCAAACCCCTCCCCCCCGCCCCTGAAGAGCTGAATTTGCCCTATGGCCTACGTCTGCTGGGAAACTTCCCAGTAAGTCAGGTTGAAGGTTGAATGTGCCCCTTGCTGGCTGGGAACCTCTTCATCAGTCTTGCTGGGAGTGAGGAACAGATAAATTTTTCCCAGCAATGTCCCAAAATGTTTAAAATAGCTTCAGACATCTTTATTCATGCTTTTTTGTTGTTTTTAGGTCTTTTTCTCAAAATTTTCCGTTGGATGCCCCTGAGTATAGGTAATAGCATGATTTGTAGTGATATTTGGCATAAATACCACGACTGATATTTCGAAATTGTTATACGTAATTTCACGAGCCGTTAGGCGAGTGAAATTTGAGACAATTTTGAAATATCACGAGTGGTATTTATGCCAAATATCACGTACAAATCATGCTATTATTTGTTTATACTACTACCCGAAAAATGTTTGTAATTTTCACATGTAGGTATTTCAAATTAAGCTGAAATACCACTGCTCTAAGCCAATCAGATTGCAGAAATTTCCCATGTAGTAGTATAACACATGTAAGAATAAAAATGACACAACACAAATCCGGCGTGTAATATACTTAACAAATAGATTCCATGTTACCGTGGGTCTGTTCAGTAATAGATAACATACGACGTCAAAATGTTGTAAA